TTTTTTTTTTTTTTTTTTGATTCTCATAAGACCTCTCTGAACTTGATAGTGGTTGAACTTGTAAGTGAACACATGATGTGCATCGGGTCTGAGATTATGGCCTAACGTGATGCTACTCTTGGTGACACGCCTCTACCCTGTACCTGATCTTTTAAGTGAAACAGTACACAGCTCATATGCATGATTTCTTTATCTCTGTGCCCAGACTTTTCTAATGGCCTGGCTTAGCTTCACTTCTGCAGCCTGAACACAGAGAAAAACGCAATGTGAAAACAAGCACATTTAATTTTAAAACGTTTCACTTGGGTTCAAACAGTTAAGATCATTAGAAAATACTTTAAAAATTAATAAAGTTAGAACTCTGCCCTCCATCAGAAACATTCTTGTTGAGTTAAAAATGATGCTATCGCTTCGAGTGATAGCAGTCTGTTTATACTGGGTTTTCTCTGTGTGCGGGGCGTGAGTTTGCCAATGCATTTTAATTCTGGTGCTTTGCTGGAGTCTCTCTGATTCACCAGATCTGGATGGGATAATCAAATCTTATTGCTGGCATTGGGGATTGTCCAAAGCCTCACCAAGGGCGTGGGGACTTGTTGGAGAACTTCTTTTTCTCCTTGCTCTGGTTCTGAGTCTTGTTCGGGCCCTACTGTGCCTTGTATTTAATTTCCTCAAAACCACTTCAAGGTATTTGCTTGTGTCGCCCACTTTAGTATAGATTTGGGAAAACGAGGGAGGGATTTACAACACATATATAAACAGAGTTAACGTTTGATACTGGATGGACCTGCTCTTGAGTGGCCCTGGCTTTGCTGTGGCTGAACCCTGAACTCCCAGCATCAACTGACACTCCTTTCTCACCTTTTCTTTCTTGTCTTCCGGCTTTTTCAGGGTTTGCACCCTCTTTGTTCTGTCCTTTCCCTCTCAGGGTATAAAGTCAACCCGTCCCCATGTTTATTTATTTTTAAATTTTATTTTAAATGCAGAGCACTTAAGATCTCACTGGTGCCAACAGCCAAATGCAGTTTGGTGCCTGCGTTTGTGTATTTAAGGATATAGTCTAATTAGAAATGATCCGTTGAGAGGTCCTTCTGCCTGAATTCTTGGGCAGTGGCCGTCTTCAGCCTCGTTTATGTCTTGGAGGTGAGCCTGGAGGTGAGCCTGGAGGTGGGGATAGGACTGCCATCTATAGAGGAAAAGGCCAGGTCCCGATTTGAATTCTGGCCTCACTTCCCTGCTGTGTGGCCTAGGACAAGTTACTTACCTTCCCTGAGCCTGGTTCCCTGTCTCTAATGTGGGGATAACGTTACTTTCTTGCACGTTGCGGAAAGGGTAAAACTGGATAACATCCAAGCAGCAGAAAGGATAAAGTGGAAAAACACTTCTGAAGCACCTGGCTGAAGGCACAAACTCAACAAAATGTTCGTTTCCCTCGCTTTCCACCGACAAACGCTTTCCTTGAGGGCTACATATGTAAACATTAAATATTTATCAATTGCATAATTCAAAAAAAAAATGAGACTTGAAAAGGAATCTTACTCTGGATGTTTTGATGAAACAAATAATCCTCCCCACTTGTCTTTGCGGCGAATCTGTACTTTTATACGCAGCTTATGACATTTGTGTACATTTCTCGGCACAGTGAGACTTGATTGAACCCCGGCTCTCTCTGCAGCTTCATAGACGTTGCAAATACTCGGTGCTGACAGTGTGATCTGAGCCCATCTAAGTGACTGTGGCCTAGAGCTGCCCCCAAGGTGTGACTTGAGGGCAGACCTAGCAGAGCTGAATAGGTAACGAGGACATAAACACTAGCTAAGGCCTGGGGTTTGGTCGGACAGCACTCACACAAGCACAGTGAAAATGGATCTTTTACGAGCAGGAAGGAGTTGCCATGTGTCTTCCTCTGAAGCAGGGCAGAGCCTAGCGTCTGATGAATAAGTGATAGTTGTCAATTAGGTCACTTAGACATCAGCTAAGACAGCCTGTACACATCCCACACGGCCGGATTTTGAATCCTGGGGTGCCAGAAACAGCCTCCAGGGTAGGAGCTCATGTTCTCAGGGGCAGGAAAGAATAACCTGGAGCAAAAGGGATTTTTTTTTTCCCCCCTGTTGATCAGTCAGTTGTGTAGGGGTCTCGGCCAAATCTAGCCCACAGCCTGTTTTTGTATAACCCATGAGCAAAAGAATGGTTTTTGCATATTTAAAGCATCGTAAAAAGAAAAGAAGAACATGCAACAGAAACCGTATGTGGCCCACAAAGCCTAAGATATTTACTCTCGGGCCCTTTACAGAAAAAGGTTGCTGATCCCTGGCCTAGAGAGTCTGAAATACCTCAGATTAAGGAAGGCAGAATGTAATGACTGACTTTTTCAGTTGGTCTCATTTGTGGCAGACACTGTCTGCTTTAACAAAGCTTAACGGGCATTATTTAGGATAAATATAATCACATTTCAGTATTTAATTGGGTCCTGTTTTCTCCCTATGGGGTTATTCCAACTGGGTCCGTGGAACGGTGTCTCTGTTTGTTGTTCCAGAAGTAGCTCATGTGTCTGTCAGCCCCGTCTGAAGGCTCCACCTCCTTACCACAGCTCACCTGTTCGAAGGTTCTTCCCACACTCTCCCCTGGCCTGAAAGGGATTGGCAGAGGCCAGCTCAAGAAGGACCGCTGGGGTATTTTCCACCCTATTCTACACATGCCAAGTCTCAGCGGGGGAGTGTGTGATCCAAAGCCAATGAAATATACGTGGCGCAGAAGTCTGAGCCTGGGAAGTGATTATCTGTGGGGGGCTCTGGTACATGGATGGAGCCTTCTGGAAGAAGTCGGATCTGGATTGGACTCTGCAGGATAGACACAACTGGGGGAGGGCATAAGCAAAGGCCCAGAGGTAGAAGGAAATGACTCATGGAGTGTCGTCCTGCCTCAGGTTGGAGGCTTTTCTAGTAGTGTGAGTTGAGGTTAGATCTTCGATGTGGCCAATGTATTGTGAATTTAAGGTGTGTGGCATTCCAGATCCTGTACCCAGCGAGGAGGAGTCACTGTCATTTATTTACAATAGGAGCTGTGTGTGTGTGTGTGGGTGGGTGGCAGGGTGAGGTAGAGGAATTGTCCAATGACAGGTGGGAAATTGGCTGCTGTTTCTTACCCCCTGACTCGGTGCTGGGCACTGGGCTGAGTGTATTATATGAACCATCTCATTCAATCCTCACAACTCTGTAGGGAAAGGTATTATTATCCCCAGTTTGCAAATGAGGACATTTGGGTTTACAAAGGTTAAAATAACTTGTGCATGGTTCTGAAGTTAAGAGTGGGTAGAGCCATGGCGGTCTGACTTGGAGCCCAAGCTCTGACCTCCTGCCATCCTGAAGCCAGCTCAGTGTAAAACATTGTAACGAAACAGAAACGGGAAGAGTGAACAGCAACTAAAAATTCTGCCTTCCAGGAATGACATTTTGGGTGACAGTCCTTCTAGACATCTTTCTATGTGTATGCAATAGACAGGTATGCATTTTGCATAATCCGTGCCTAGATTGTCTAAATCCTGTGCCTGCAAATTTTACATAAATGGCACCATACTCTATATCTTTTTTTCCCCACCTAACATTAATTTTCCAATTTTAATAAGTGGGTATTTAGTATTTCATGTTATGTCTGCACCCGCATTCACATGACCGGTCCCCTTTAGATCACTGCAATTTCTTGAGCAGGGAAAGAATTTGAGAGCTTTGGGGTTTTTTTTTAAGCTTTTTAACTGAATTTCGTGCTTTCTTGCTTTCTTTGCAGCATGCCCTTGACGCTGATAATGCAGGAGTAAGTCCAATAGGAAACTCTTCCAACAACAGCAGTCACTGGGACCTTGGAAGTGCCTTTTTCTTTGCTGGAACTGTCATCACCACCATAGGTATTCATTCCTTTGCTAATATCTTTTTTTGTGGGGGCCCCGAGAAACGGCACTTAGTCAACATTTGGTCCTAGAACGCTGGCAGCTTGAGGTTCAAAGGAGGCTTATGAAACACTGCTGGATAAATGCAGTAGTTGTAGGGGCTTTCAATAAAAGGCAAAGCAGACTAAGGAATTTCATTTTTCAAAACGAGAGGCTAGAGAGCCTTTAGTTTGAAAGGACCTGATGAAACGATCAGAATAGAAAATCAAAACATGGATTGGTCAGTTGAGCTCAAATTCCTTTTCAAAAATTGTACTTTTTTTTACTACTAGTGTTGTTAACGAAAGAATCCAAAAGTTCTACGAAGTTTGTTAATGAAGCACAACCGTTTCTGCCCCTCTGCCTTTCCTCACCTCCCCTGGGGCAACTGCTCTCCTCTCTTTTGATTATTTCAACATTCATTTCCCTGTCTTTAAATATTATACTTGTATTGCCACTTCCAGAAGTTTCAGTTTTAGAGATTATTTCTTGACTTCCAGTTGTGAAAGGTGAGGAATCAGAGCGGTCCCCCCAACCATGGTTTTTTTTGTCTATGGTTTCATTTACTCTCGGTCCACTGTGGTCCAGAAGCAGACAGTCTTCCTTCTGATTCATCATCAGAAGGTCAGTGGTGGACTCATGCTACATCACAATGCGTACATCATTCACCTCACTTTATCTCATCACGTCGGCATTTTATCATCTTACATCATCACAGGAAGGGGAAGGGTGAGTGCAGAACAGTGGGATATTTTGAGAGACCATTCACATAACTTTTATGACAGTGTATGGTTATCACTGTTCTATTTCATCATCAGTTGTCTCTTACTGTGCCTACTGTATAATTAAACTTTATTGTAGGTATGCATGGATAGGAAGAAACATAGTCTGTATAGGGTTTGGTACTGTCTGTGGTTTCAGGCACCACTGGGGTCTTGGAACATATTCCCTGTGATTCTCTTTCTTCCCCTCTGCCCTTCTGTACAGGGCTCTCTTCCTATCCCCCTATCTTCCCAATATGGTTTAATTCGATCAACAATGAAGGTTTGCCTTATTTTGACCAGGTAAATGCCCTTTATAACTGATCCTATGGTGATCTGTGATTACCTCTTCCCTGCACCGGTTTTTGTCTTATATTTGCGTGTGTCTTTTTTCTGATTCTTGGGGAGTTTTAGATTTTTGTGTTAGGGGTTAACTTTATAATTACAGTCATATATAATAAAATCTGTATTCACTTTTTTAAGCAGTATTTGCTAGTTCTCTATCACAGGTGAAGACATCTCTTCTCTCACACAATTTTAGTCGATACCGTCCTTGTAATGCTTACTTTTAAATTGTTAAATATGCTTATGTTTCTATTTGATGATTTGCCCACATCGAATGATAACTCTTGGCTCTCAGCTGTGACGTAGAATGCAGTCAGTGAACTTACTCAGCGTCTCTACTTCTTTCGCACTTGGGCTGTTGGGTGTTACTCACTGGATCATTCTATAACGTCAGAGTCTGTGATTTACATTGTGTTCTGTTACCTGATACTCACATGTGTTTTAGTCCTGGTCCCACAGTTATATATTGTCAATGTTCAGCCCTCGTTCTTCTGCTGTGGCTTTTCTCATCACCACTTACTTGGCTCAAACTCATCTTCAAGTAGTTGCCTTATGAAGGGCTCATAGGAGGGGCACCTGGGTGGCTCAGTTGGTGAAGCGTCAGCCTTCGGCTCAGGTCATGATCCCACAGTTTGTGAGTTCAAGCCCCATGTCGGGCTCTGTGCTGGCAGCTCAGAGCCTGGAGCCTGCTTCGGATTCTGTGTCTTTCTCTCTCTCTGCCCGCCCCGCTGCTTGCACCCACTCTCTCTCTCTCTCTCAGCTTTGCTCAAAATATAGCCTTACCCTCGAGGGGCAGTGTGTCTGGAAATGAAATCTGTGACTCCCATTTTATTTTTTTGAGGGTCTTCTGGGTGATAATCCACTCTTTTCTAATGTCTGTGCTGCTGGGGAGAAACTTGATGCCAGCCCAATTTTTCCCCCTTTTAGAAGGGATTTTACTTTGTTCCTTGGCTACACAAAGGGCCGTTTCTCTTTCATCTGATAATACAAGTAGGTTTTGTCCCTTTTATTTCAGGAAAGTGTTCTTGATTGTCATCTTTACACATATCCTCTGCCATGTGGTTTTGGTTCTGTTCTTTGGGAATTCTGACTATACATATATTGTCATTACTTTGCCTGTCTTCTGTGTCTATCATTTTCCACCTATTCCTTTTTAAAAATTTTTAAAAATGTTTTTATTTGTTTTTGAGAGAGAGAGAGAGAGAGAGAGCACACAAACAAGGGAGGGGCAGAGAGAGGGAGACACAGAATGAGAAGCAGCCTCCAAGGCTCTGAGCTGTCAAGCATAGAGCCTGACGTGGGGCTTGCACTTGTGAACCACAGGAGCATGACCTGAGCAGAAGTCAGACGCTCAACTGACTGAGCAACCCAGGCACACACCCCCCTCCCACCACTCCTTTTTAACTCGGAAAATGTGGTTTCCATTTTGTTCCTGTTATCTTCTCTCTTCCTTTCCTGTTTTTTCACAGTGCCTTTTTTGCCATGTGCTCCTTCCAATTTTATTTTCATTTTTGTGATCATTAGGGGATATTTTTTCCTTTCGTATTTCTTTCCAGAATGCCATTAGCTCACATTCCATCTTCCCTTGTTATCTCACAGTTTCTTTCCTGATTTCCGGCTCTTCTGCTTTGTGGTTTTGCTGTGATGGTTATTGGAGGTGATTACTTCACAGGTGGTCACACGTTTTGTCTGGTTGAGGCAGCGTTTTTTGACTGAGTGCCTTTCACCTGTTGGTAATATTGTATATTATGTAAGTTCCATGCCCAGTGTGAAGCCCAATACAGGGCTTGAACTCACGACCCTGAGATCAAGAGTTGGATGCTTAGCCGACCGAGCCACCCAGGCACCCCTCTTGCCACAGTTTTAAAAAACAGAAGCTTTGTATTTATGCTGGACCGGTTTCCTTTCGAAATACTTGATGCCAAAAACAAACGATATTCCCGATCCAGCTATCTGCTGAAAGATTCTGTGCGGCCGGAGGAGGAGAGCCGGGAGAGGTAGGGTAACCTTCTAGGTAGCACATCTTTGTCCTCTTTTCTGCTGCCACAGAGAGAGAGGGTTTCCTGCAAGTGTGACCCATCTATGTGATTTTCTGTATAGTCCTGCCTCTTCGGCTTTTTTCTGAACCAGATCAAGTTCAAGGGGGCTTCTGCTGCTCTCTCTCTTCACCCTGTTTTCTACACTTGGTACGAACAAAGATAGTTCTTTTGAAGTTCAGAATGAGAGCCTCACCATCATAATTGGATTTTTGCTGGCACTTTCTGGGATTTTCTACTGATGGGCCTTTTCTTCCTTCTCTGTGCTTCTTCTCTTTATTGTTTCCCATATGGTGTCAGTCCAACCCTTTTGGTAATCCTTACACACATGGGGGAAGCTATAAATAATATTCCTCTCCCAGCTCTGCTGAAAGTGAGAGTTTTCTGCGCCTCTACAAAAGTTTAGTCACATTGCAATAAAAATTCTCATTCAGAAGAACAGGAGACACATAGCATCGAGAGGCCCCTCAGCCCTGGAGGTGGAAGGATCGTCATTAACTCCTTTTATGCTCTCTGGGAGGACCTCCCTTGTCTGTTGCTCTCTGAGGCCCAGCTATGCCTTCCCTCTCCTTACCCTTCACGACCATCTCTCAAGTGGGTGTTGGATAGTGTGCCCTCCTTGGGCACTTTGATGACCGACTTCCTATTAGTGCAAGTTTCCGAGGTTGAGGACTGTTTTAGAGGCATAGGCTTCTATGTTTTTAGAAGTTATTGTTTTTAGACCTAGCCTTTAGGACCTGTATTATTTCTACATTGGTGCGTTCAAGAAAGTTATATGCAGTGAGAAAATTTGGGATGAGAGAGAATTGGCATTTCTTTTCAGAAAGTCCTTTAATCTAATTATATGACATACCATGTTCACATTTGCAAAGATACAAACATAGTAAAATCAGCTCTTACACATGTTGGAGGTGGGCATCACACTATAGTGGGATTGGGTCCTAGAAGCCTTTTGACACTCCAGGCAAGACTGGATCATTTAGTCCACAACTCATAGCTCCCCACAGAGGAAGTGGCACCGTTTGATATAAGGGCAAAAAGTGCTATAAAACTCAACGGCACCCGAGAGCATCCCTGCAGTAGATCAGAGAAGACCAGTGTCAGGTTAAATTGTGTCACCAGTCTGGTCAGTAAGAGGGAGAAATGTGCCATGCATTTTCGGAGGATTTATAGTAAAAGGATTAAAATTGAGGCAGTCTGGGCCACTTCAAGAGGTACATTTTGGAAGATGCACTCCAGTACCCAGTGTTGGATCCATGAGACATTAGTATGTGTTAAAGAAGACAGAAAAAGAAAAAAAATCCCAATTTTCTTGCTTTGTAAAATGGCTAAATCAGTGGTCTGCTGCAAAACACTATAGTTACATTGGAATGCACACTGATGGTATTTATTGTGTCAACTTGCTAGGATCCCAGGGGCTTGGTTTATTAAACGGCAGTGTTCATTGACCACATGACCTTTTGTGATGGGGAGTGGTGGTTCCATGTGCCTAATGAGAAACATTTGATATGTAACATGTGCTGCCCTTTTTAATGTATGTACATGGGAATCTTTGACTTTGTGCAAATCACTCTTAATCCTTGGTTTCTGCTGCCTGGGTTTCACTTTATACACTTATATACACTTGTCTCCTGATAACCATTTCCTGAGTGGCACCCCTCCCCCACATGCTTGGCCTCCAGGCCTCAGGGGATGAATCATCTTTTCTAGACCAAGAAATCCAATACTGTGCATGTGCCTGGCCAAAGTCTTTAGTCCAGAGACGGGCATGAGATCTCGAATAGGCCAATAAGAAACTCAGTTCCTGGGCTTTTGCTTGAGCTTTGGAGGAAATGAC